CCCACACACACACACACACACACACATATCTATGATGAACTTGCAAGCTTGGCCCCAAAATATAAGGAGAAAAGGAAGAAACATCACAAAGAGGAAATGAAAACAAGAACAACAAGATTTTATGTGGTTCGGTCCATAGGACCTACATCCACGAGAGAAAATCAAGAAACAATTCACTAAGACAATCTTGAAGATTACACCGCACAAAATGAAGGACGAACCAATCTCCTCAAGCTCTCTATCGATCTTGATCTCGATACAAGCTTTTTTGGTTCACTCTCAGAATTTCTCTCTCTTAACCCTCTCAACTCATATACATCATTACATATATATAGACCAATGACCCACCCAAGATGACCGATTACACACCTTTAAATAACCAAATGACCGGTGTACTCATTAGCTATTTAATATAAACGCGGTTTTGTCTTAGTTTGCATAATTTGGAAGTCACCATAACAAATCTCCACCTTCACTTCCATTTACAAACCTCCATAATAAAGATTTCTTCCACCTAACCTCGAGGGGCCTGAGCCGTTGTCTCTCTTGACACTTCCCTTAAAGCTTTGTCACCCAAGCTCAAAATTCTCGCGTTGTGAGCTCAGTCCAAGATGTTCTTCTTCTCCCTCTTGGGTATTTCGGCCGGCAATGCCACCGGTCCTTGCAATGCTTCTACGAGACCTTCTTGCACCAACAAAGCTCTCATCTTGACTCTCTACAAGCCGAAATCGTTTTTTCCGGTGAATTTCTCGATGTTGAACTTAGCAGATCCTATTGTCGTGGCTAGAATTTTTATAGACGGCTCCATTTGTAGCAGAATCAGCTGCTAAGAAAGCTGCAGGACAGCAAGGGAAAACCGCAAGACAACAAAATGGAAATGAGAAAAGGAAGAAAAACCGCAAAGAGGAAATGAAAACAAGAATACCTAGAATTTACGTGGCTCGGTCTATAGGACCTACATCCATGGGAGAGAATCAAGAAACAATTCACTAAGACAACCTTGTAGCTTACACCGCACAAAATCAAGGACGAACCAATCTCCTCAAGCTCTATTTCGATATTGATCTCGATACAAGCTTTCTTGGTTCCTCACTTTGCCCTCAGAATTTCTCTCCCCCTTAACCCTCTCAACTGATATACAACAGTACATATATAAAGACCAAAGACCCATACAAAATGGTCGGTTAAACGCCTTTAAATAGCCAAATGACCGTTGTACCCATTAGCTATTTAAACTTCTTTATAAACGTGACTTTGCCTTAGTTCGTATAATTGAGAGTCATCATAACAGAAATGACCTAATTTATGTATTCGTTAGTTGTTTAATTCATTGTGCCCTCAATAGTTATCTCTCTTTTTTATTTTCATAATCTTAGAAGGGAGAGAATGTGCCATTTGTGTTTCTAATTTATTGTTTTAACACATCAATACAACAACAACAACAACCCTTTATCCCACTAAGTGGGGTCGGCTACATGAATCTCTTTTTTCCATTACGTCCTGTTGAGTGTCATGTTTTCATTTAATTTTAATAGATTTAGATCATTTTTTATACAATATGACCAAGTCTTTTTAGGTCTACTTTTGCCTTTTTTAACATCAATCGAAGCTAAAACCTCTACTCTCTTAACTGGATCATCAGATGGTCGACGTTGAATGTGACTAGATTATCTAAGGCAATTCTTTCTAATATTGTCTGCCACTGAAGCTACACCAACCCTCTCACAAATATAATCATTTCGCATTTTGTCTCTAAGGGTCAAGCCACTAATCCACCTAAGCATTCTCTTCTCAACAACACTTGGGATCTGTTTGAGATCACTTTCTGTTTTCTATTTTTTTTTTAACCTAGTCTGTTTTATTTTTTATTATTTTTTTAAGTTTTCTATTTTTAGAAAATATGCTTGGCACTATTAAGATTTATATATTTTTAAAAATAAAAATTATAAAACATGTTTGGTTGAGTTTTTTTTTATAACAATTATACTTTTTATAAAACAATTGAGTCCGCGTGCGCTTCAATGTTAAGTTATGTCACCCATAACGTATACGACATCTTCCTTATGCCACGCAACATGTAGCATTACCTGTGGACGGGCCGACAACCGACAGTGACCCGCGGTGGTTGGCAGGCTGAGGGGGTTGGCAATCGGCAGACGGGTGTGGCAGCGGGGGCCAACTGGCGGCGTGGGCAGGCGACAACGAGCGGCGGGACTCACTTTTTTTGGTGTTTTAAAAACAGACGAAAACATGTTTTTTCTGTTTTGAGTATTTTAAAAACAGAAATATTCTTCCAAAAAATAAAAATAAAAAATAAAATAAAAAAAAACAGATTAACAAACACAGTTTTTTTGTTTATTTCCTATTTTTTGTTTTCAAAAATAAAAAAAAGATCCTAAACAGTCCCATAACTTTGTTTTATGCTTCTCATTTAAAGGCTAACATTCTGCTCCATAGAGTATTGCAGGTCTCACTATCATCTTATAAAATTTTTCTTTGAGTGTTTTAATATATGAATCGAAATAAAAATAATTATATATTAATTCAGAATGAAATAATGTATATTTGATTGTTTACAAAACGTATGTATAACTTTCATGGCTTTTTATTTTGTAGCTTATAAAATTGAAGTTGATAATAAAAACAAACTTATACATGCATTCTTTTTTTGTTTGGGCAATACACTTAATATTTCGTATACTTTTCCTTCTCTTATTTTTGCTGCGAAATAAGTGAATAGTTTGTGTGAACTATTGATTTATTTCTTTTACAATTAAAAAAAATAATAAAACAAAATATGTTGTAATAAGATTAAAAATTTAGAACCTCTATAACATTGAATTGGCTGCTATTCCAATATATAATATTAAAGTTGTTGCTAATTGTGCCACTTGTTTATGAGACTTTTGTACGGCTATTTGGCGTTGCTACTGTTGACTTCTATCCTGCCACCATTTGTGTTTTTCATTCTAAAAGGGTTTGCAAGGTTTTTGTGCACATGATATTATTTTCTATGACTAATTTAATTACTTTGGGTTTTGTTGTTGTAATTCAAATTTGAACTACTAGATTATTTGGAATTGGATTGGATAAGTTTTGTGCTAACCATATATAATAACTTTGGAATGAGGAGCCTATAAATAGATGTTTTGAGGATGAAATTTGATTAAATAACATTATTCTAGTTTTCAATTCAATGTTTGCAAATTGGATGTGTGATTTGATTGTGTGCAGTATAAGCGGGACAACCTAATTTCATTAGTCGTCTCTTTGTACCTATGCGAGGTCTAGATTTCTGTATTGAATTTTGCATTGACTAAATTTTTTCTAAATATTTTATTATTGTTTGATTGTGCTCTTGAGTTCGTTCAAGTTTGAAATTGTTAGGAATTTATTTGTGGTTTTTTAATTATTACAGTTTGTCGATATAGGTGTTTGATTGCCTCGGATTTATTTGATCATTACGCTATTATTTCAGTTGCAATTCTTGTATTTACTAGTTGCATTGAAAGAAAAAAGCCTGGCTTTTTTATCAGGCTTTTTTCTTTTGTGATGTAATTAAATTTCCTTACATGACTTACATACATCACATCATTTTAATTGCTTTAGAAAACTCATTTTAGGATATCTCAAATATCTTATGTCATACAGAATAGTTCCAAGGATCCATTTGTCAAAGTAAAATTAAATGATCTTGATGCCTGAATAGCTGATTTCATACTCATTGTTTTTTTTTTGCCTCGGAACATCGAAAGGTCAAATCAAATGATTGGTCTTGTTCTATGTTTCTTAGTCTCTATATTCTTAATTGAATGTTTGAAAATTTCTTCCAAACTTGAAAACAAGCTGATTTACATTTCAGTTGGATGATGATTGAACTTTACAATATATTCACTTTGCAATTTTTTCTTTTAATTTTTTATTTTGGTGTACTTATGAAAAAATACCTTATTTGATATGATACTTTGTTGTGGTTGTTCTTTGCAGCATGGTCCCAATGAGTGCTTACTGAATACAGTTGAAGCATGTGCAATCTCAGCTTGGCCTGATCTGGTATGACTTTACTTTCTATGGATCTTCTTTTAGGAGTTGAGCATGCCCTTACTTTTTTTTTGAAATGTTTAACAAGATTTTGGATTGTGAATATGTATTTGTAAAGGTATTCTAGACCTTGCATGGCACATGTTTGATTGAAAAATGTAAAATGTTTTGAGTGAGCGTTGCTTCCTTTGATAGTAATTCTTATTCTTTAATTTTCTTTTTCTATAGAACAATGAAGGGAATAACCATGATTTTTTATGTAGAATATATTTGATCATTTCGTATTTGGCAATAAATTTAGCCAACATGCCTGTGCCCCAGCATTAGTTGCCTCATCTCCTTTGCAATGCATAAGTTATTAGGAACATATGATAGTATGGGATTTTTAATGGGGTTGGCCAAACAAACCAACCCCATTAAATTTCACAAATTATGTTCTGTCATATGTCTTGATAACCATACATCATTCCCATGCGCCTCAAAATAATTTTCTGTTCTCTTATACAAAGTGAGTTTACAAATAAATATGAAAAATGAATCCAATTAACTTGCAAAAACAAAAAAAATGGGGAAGAACAAAGAACAACAAGGCTCTTTTCACTGTTTTAGTAATGCACAAGTCATTGAATGAACTCAAGGTTTTGTTGGGAATTATGATTTGTAAGTATCTAAAGTATCTATATTTCTTTGTGCTTATTATTTGTTACATTGTTAATTTTATCTATTTTTTTAATGCAAGTGCTAATAAAAGCATAATTTACAGCTCAAGCACAATTGAAAACGGTGATTTGGTTATTTACAGCCTAGAATCATTTTTGAAATGCATTAATAAGTTATATAAATGCTGAAAAATATTAGATTTGTCTATGCTTTTCATGTTTGGAATTCATTAATATCTTATGTAATTGCTGATGAAACAAAGAACGTATGCTACTCAATCTTAACAAGATATCTGTTGCCATCTTGCTGATAAGTAATGAAAGCCTTGATTTAACATGCTGGTAACTGGTAAGTGAGATCTGAACACAGTGTGCAGCTTAACAAGGTAAGTAGTTACGTTTAGGTCTTTATATTTTGATCCTCAGTGCATATACCTCCTTGTTTTTTCTCAAACTTTACATCTCGGTCCCTATATATCTTGTAAATTTTATCAGGGTATGCTGTGATGGTGAGCATTGGGCACGTTGAGGTTGAGAGCGCTCTAATGAATTTATGCTGAACTCCATGATGGAATATAGCTTTGCAATCATTGGTTTTCATTTAGTGGGTATAGGGGTATGCATTATTTGGTCAAAACCAAAAAACCAAACCGAACCAAACAGTTTTGGTTGTTTATGTTCAGATTCAAAAATGCATTTTGGTTTTTTATTTTTTAAACCTCAATATTCAGTTTTCAGTTATTATTTCTGTTTTAATTTTGATTTAACCGAAGAAACCGAATTACAAAAAAATTGAAATTAAATGGATGATTCATAAAATTAAATCAATATTATATATGAAAATTTGTAATTCTTGATGTTTGTTCGTAACCGAACTCCAACAAACATATTTTGGTTTTGTTCATAATTGAACAGTTTAAACCGGATTAAATTTGGTTTGGTCTTATCATCATTTTGATTAATTTCATTTTTCGGGTTATAGATTTCGCTGCAATCGGTTTCACCATTTTGAAAACTGATCCATCCAAACCGACCAAATGCTCGCCCCTTCATTGGCAGGTTTCTGTTCTCATCTTCATCGATAAGCTGCCTTTTAAAATGGGTTTAGCACTGGCAGCAGTTCTGATAAACCGAATCTAGTTACTGAATGGGTGCTAAATATATGGTTTTAGATATTGGATTTTAGAAATTGAGGATCTGTTGAGAAAATTAGGGCGAAGAAAAACAGTAATCGACACAAATCCAGAAGAACACAGAGATTTAACGAGGTTCGGCAAAGATGCCTACGTCCTCGGGAGCAGAGCGGCGAGTTCCTTTCAATATTCAGAAAAGGGTTACAGAATAGAGGGTTCTCCTGCGACAAACCTGCGAACTCCGCTGCAACTGCACATGCCGCAATTCCTGCGACAAACCTGCGAACTCCGCTGCAACTGCACATGCCGCAATTCCTGCGACAAACCTGCGAACTCCGCTGCAACTGCACATGCCGCAATTCCTGCGACAAACCTGCGAACTCCGCTGCAACTGCACATGCCGCAATTCCTGCGACAAACCTGCGAACTCCGCTGCAACTGCACATGCCGCAATTCCTGCGACAAACCTGCGAACTCCGCTGCAACTGCACATGCCGCAATTCCTGCGACAAACCTGCGAACTCCGCTGCAACTGCACATGCCGCAATTCCTGCGACAAACCTGCGAACTCCGCTGCAACTGCACATGCCGCAATTCCTGCGACAAACCTGCGAACTCCGCTGCAACTGCACATGCCGCAATTCCTGCGACAAACCTGCGAACTCCGCTGCAACTGCACATGCCGCAATTCCTGCGACAAACCTGCGAACTCCGCTGCAACTGCACATGCCGCAATTCCTGCGACAAACCTGCGAACTCCGCTGCAACTGCACATGCCGCAATTCCTGCGACAAACCTGCGAACTCCGCTGCAACTGCACATGCCGCAATTCCTGCGACAAACCTGCGAACTCCGCTGCAACTGCACATGCCGCAATTCCTGCGACAAACCTGCGAACTCCGCTGCAACTGCACATGCCGCAATTCCTGCGACAAACCTGCGAACTCCGCTGCAACTGCACATGCCGCAATTCCTGCGACAAACCTGCGAACTCCGCTGCAACTGCACATGCCGCAATTCCTGCGACAAACCTGCGAACTCCGCTGCAACTGCACATGCCGCAATTCCTGCGACAAACCTGCGAACTCCGCTGCAACTGCACATGCCGCAATTCCTGCGACAAACCTGCGAACTCCGCTGCAACTGCACATGCCGCAATTCCTGCGACAAACCTGCGAACTCCGCTGCAACTGCACATGCCGCAATTCCTGCGACAAACCTGCGAACTCCGCTGCAACTGCACATGCCGCAATTCCTGCGACAAACCTGCGAACTCCGCTGCAACTGCACATGCCGCAATTCCTGCGACAAACCTGCGAACTCCGCTGCAACTGCACATGCCGCAATTCCTGCGACAAACCTGCGAACTCCGCTGCAACTGCACATGCCGCAATTCCTGCGACAAACCTGCGAACTCCGCTGCAACTGCACATGCCGCAATTCCTGCGACAAACCTGCGAACTCCGCTGCAACTGCACATGCCGCAATTCCTGCGACAAACCTGCGAACTCCGCTGCAACTGCACATGCCGCAATTCCTGCGACAAACCTGCGAACTCCGCTGCAACTGCACATGCCGCAATTCCTGCGACAAACCTGCGAACTCCGCTGCAACTGCACATGCCGCAATTCCTGCGACAAACCTGCGAACTCCGCTGCAACTGCACATGCCGCAATTCCTGCGACAAACCTGCGAACTCCGCTGCAACTGCACATGCCGCAATTCCTGCGACAAACCTGCGAACTCCGCTGCAACTGCACATGCCGCAATTCCTGCGACAAAACTGGGAACTCTGCTGCAACTGCACATGCCGCAATTCCTGCGACAAATCTGCGAACTCCGTTGCAACTGCACATGCCGTGCCGCAACTGCACATGCCGCAACTTTTGCGACAAACCTGCGAACTCCGCTGGTCGAACACCACCAAACTCCTCTGTTTGCAAACGCTCCTGTTCGCGGTAACTGCACACGAACTCCTGTTCGCGAACTCGACCTCGCCTAATGCCGCGAAGGTTCAT